TGGAAGGAAATTCCATAATATTCTGCACCATGTGCTGCTACAACAAAGCAATAAAAATTAATCTTATTAAAAATGATGAATGAAAGCAATACAATGAAACAAAAAGAAACACGATGCAACAAAATTCAACAAAAAGAAACAAAAAGCAACAAAAAGCAACATAATATAACAGGGAAAAAACAATTAAAACAATATGGTGTAGTATCCAAAGAATATATATATATATATTCATGATCAGAATTGTACTTTTCTTAAATAAAATGTTCTCTTGTATAAAAATTGTAAAGTGCATTTATATTCTATAGTTTACAGATTGCTCACTCAGAAAAATCAAAGGTGCTAAACCATGACTATATTAGTAACTTAACCAATGAGAAGAAACAGGTGGTCATGAATCATATGGTTCAACTATAGGCCGTGTAGAACATGTAATAGAATTATAAGTTAAGACTGTATGCTTACAATAGAAGAAGCCTTCTTCTACTTGAATGACTAATGTTTAGGACTGAAATGAATACTTTCCTTAAAGCTTATATAAGTTCCAACAGATTAGAAGAAGAAGAATAAAAACTTATTCAATATTTTTTTAGCTTGAAATCTATTGTCTAAAATATTATAATGGTGAATGAGGGTTAGGGCATTTAAGGTAGAAAAAATGTGTTGGTGTAATCACATGCTTATTTGAGTTGCACATTACACTTCATCGTTTGTACTTTTTAATACTCCATAATACTACGTTTTTACTCCATACTTCGCAGATGATTAGCTCTCCGTCTTCTCTCTGTTTGTCATCACGACCTTGAGGGCTTGAATCGTTAACCAGCTAAATTCCTTTCATGTCACCCTGATCGTTCGCCTCCCCTCCCATCGTTACTCTCTATTTGACCAGGTATGTTCTCTGCCGATTTCTCATATATTCGTCGTGAGCTTGTGCCCCGTTCTTTTCCCTCATATTTAATGGTCTCTGTTGTTTTTCCTTTTTGAGTTTGTGTGTTCTGTGATCTTAGACCCGGCCCACAATAATACAACCAGGGATGGAACATGGCAGTCTTGTGTTTTGACAAACTCAAACCTAAATTCGCCCATTTCGGTAATTATCTTCGTCTAAAATGATTGTATTGATTTTAATTGGAATTAGATATATATGAGTGTCTGAGAAAGTGTATCGTTGAAATTAGGAATACCCATGTATACGTACAGAGGCTATATGCCTAAGTTTTTAGTTTTGTTAAGCTCGGGACTGAATTTTTTGTTAAAGTTTACCCGATGCAAAAGTGGTTTGAATGTGTAGAAAATCAATTCAATTTGCAACTTTTAAAAAGAAAAAAACTTATCTGGGTGCTCATTTTAAACAAAAACGTGCTGACCTTGATATATCTTCCGGGATAACCGGATGGTTTAGAGTGAATGGACATATCTTCCGGGAGTAATCGTGAATCAAGGTTACGGCATTTAGGTAGAAAAATGTATTGGTGTAATCACATTGCTTGTATGTAAAAGTTGACAATTTTTTATGTATAAAACCGTACTAATTTGCAAAACAAATGGCTACACTGCTACACAGCCTCAGTGTAGTCAAAATCAAGAAGCTTAGTTTCATGGAACTCCATCGTCGTTGGTTTGGCAGTGAATATAAACGAATATGAAGCACTTGAACATTTCAATATGATGCAAAAGGAAGGGTTCCTACCACATGGAGTGAGCTATATTATGCTGGAGCTCTAACAGCCTGCAACCGTGCATGCCGGTTTAGTCAAAGACGGACTGACTCTGTTCAAAACAATGAAGGAAGTGCATGGAATTCAACCAACAATAGAGCACTATGGGTGCATTTTTATCTTTATTGCCGTTCCGAGAGATTAGAGGATGCATTAAGCGTGATAAAGAACATGCCGGTGGCTAACGAAGTGGTATTAGGATCCATGATGGCAGCCTGCACTTTGCAGGACACATGGGGATGTTAGTTTGTCTGAAGAACTGATGAGCTATATGTATGAGTTGGATAAGGGTGGCGAATGGCTATTCAAAGTTCAAACCATGTTCTGCTTTTAACATATATGCCACATTTGGGAGTTGGAGAGGAGCAAACATGGTGAAGAGGAGAATGAAGGACCTTGGAATACAAAAGATACCAGGAACCAGCTCTATTGAGGTCAGCGGTGAAATCTACGAGTTCATGGCTGGTGATAGATCACATGAGGATGCTGAATTGATATATGATATGCTGAATCTTTTGTCTCATGAACTGCATATATTGGACACCTTTCCAGATCAGGTTGTTACTCGTAGAGCCTCTACGAGTAAGGGTATCATCTTAAATTCTTGATTACAGGAATATTTTTTCCCTAAATTTTTTAATTTAAGACGTTTTAGTGTGTAAATTAAATGATAGAAACCAAGCCGTTTTGTTAGCGGAGTTTTGCAAAACTTTTCCAGCTTGTGGTTGAAATAGATAAATGAGACGATTAAGTTCATTGTTGGATTGTCTAACAATGTATTTGCTAATTGGTTGATGAAAATTAGCCATTTGTAGTTAAAATTTCTTCACATTCTGGTTGAATCTTAGTAACAGTACACTTCTGCTTGAGTTTTTTTTTTGAATGGAGAAGCCTAATACGTAGTACTTCGTACGGAGTATATACTACTGCCTAATTCTTCACATGTTATTTAAACTTGTTAGGGAAATAATAATGCAGTAATAACTTTTCATGACAGAGATTTAACTATTGCATAAGTGTCGAGTTTATAATTTGAGAATATTATATCACATATATCCCGCCTATCCTTGTGGGATAACCGGATAGTTTAGAGTGAATGGACATATCTTTCGGTAGTAACCGTGAATCAAGGTTAGGGCATTTTAGGTAGAAAAAAATGTATTGGTGTAATCATATTGCTTATTTGAGTTGCACATTACACTTCACCGTTTAGAAGCCATTCTGTTCATCTTATTCTTATTACTTATCACTTCACCGTAATCATAAGATTTTCTTATAGTAGTACTACGTACGTAGTATAATTTAAGAGTTTTGTTCCTAAAATCTTTTTTTACAGTTGGCGTAAAATACAAAGGTAGATTGACACTGGGGAAATGGTGGTTGTGAACCATATAGACAGCGCCCAGTTTACGGTTCTCTTGCACGCACTTAATTACATCTTATTTAAAAACATAGGTTTTTATTTGGAGCAAGCCCTTGAACCTTATAGTAAATAACATCTCTTGTATGCTTATAACATGCTATGATTAATCAAAACTTGCTTTCAAGAGTTTTTTAGGATTATTTCACAACTTACTATTCACATTAATTTATAATGCACTTATTGGGGATAGTTAAGTTCATGGAAAAGGGCTCCATCATCTTAGCTTGACTTTTAGCTACAAAGTGGTTTTCCTAAAATTATAAAATTTTGTACTTCGTATTACATGAAGATAATTGTGCTTACATAACGTAAATGCTATTGGGCACACCTTCAACTATACAAGTGTGGGATATAAATTACACTCTGAATCATTACGGATGAACTGTCGCAAGGGTCATATATACTTTATTAATCATTATAACATTATAAACTGCCAAAAGCAAGTACTAACCGTTTGTTAGCTTGGGAACACTCATCTCCATCTTTGCACAAATATCCTCCTAGGCATTGGCCTCTAGCTCAAGTTTGAAATCCTGCCGAGCTGGTATTGTTATTACAGTGACTTCCATAGCAACATTTTATTGCCCCGCTTTAATACATTTCATCATTCTGCTGTTCTGTTTCGATATTGATCCGATTCTTTGACCAAGTTTATAGCTGTTGAATTGTCTTACATGCTCCAACCCTATAAACGTCACCTTTGGAATAACCCCTCTACTGGCTAATGCAAACTCTCCATTGATGACTTGCGATTCAACCATGACTCTGTTTCCAATGACGTTCCCACAGAATTTTATCAAAACCTATTCAATATAGAGCAAGTTGTGGTTGAATGAAATGAGCACAAAAACACAACTCTATGAACTAAAACGAGAAGTAAACATGATCACCACCAGAGACCTTGATCAATGTGCGTCCTTAACAGTCTGATATTAAAATTTCAATTCAAGTCTCAAGCTAAAAAATTTGAGCACATCATTCCTCTAAACACAAAATTTATGTATGATAATAACATGTATAAGAGAGGCATACTTTATTTAGATCCCAAATTCCCCAAACTGATTAGGGCCACAAGGGTGACAAGTGCCAAAGTCAGTCCCTGCTAATCCAAATCCCCAACAAATATACTGCAATAGAAGTATATATTTGAAAATAGGAGCATGATAGCGCTACAGAAAATAACATGATAGCACTTCTGAGGGAACCGATGACATCATAATATCATTCATCGAATTTGAAATACATCCCTGAAAATAGGAAATCAACATGTAGTTAGGCCTCGATTCAGCAAGCAGTAGAGTTTCCACGCATGAACGGGCGGATGGAAGAGGGCGGAGGGTGGGGAGGCGGAGGGCAGAGAGCGGAGAGTGGAGAGTGGAGAGCGGAGCCGCACAGGACGGAAGGCAGAGAGCGGAGGAAGGAGAGCAGAGCGCGGTGCCGGACGGAAGGCAAAGTCATGAGCGGAGGGCGGAGCCACTGGGGACGGAGGCGCAGCTGGAGCTGGTCCGGAGGAGAAGAGCAACACACGATCGAGCTGGAGCTCGACAGGTTGTGAGAAACTGAGGAGTGAGGACTGCCGATCGATCTCGGGTATGAGTTGGGAATTAAGATTTAGGTCATTTTTGAAATAAAAAAATAAAAGTGAAAAGAGAAAAGTCTTTAATTGAAAAATAAATTATGAGGTGATATAAATGAAATGCAATTAGAAGATGTGGACTGAACGGGATATTTCCACTAAATTTTTAGGGTAAAAAATTCCGTGTAAAATTTTTTCCAGTGTCCTGACTCCACCCGTGACTTTGATTTGATAATATTGAAGGAAAAAGCCCCTTTCTCTCTCTCTTACAAACACGTTCAAACCTGAACATGCTGGACTTATCAATACTCCCTAGTTTGGTACAAACTTTATACTGTACTTCGTAGGATTTTTTAGAATACATGGACCAAACCATACCGGCCCATGCCAACTCCATTTGATCAAATTTCATCTCTCTGTCCGGACTGCATAAACTAGAAGAGAAGTTTTTTTTTTTTTTTTTTTTTTTTTTTTTTGAAAGAACTAGAAGAGAAGTTCTTAATGTTTCTTTTTCTTCTTCTTCTTTCAATATAAATGGACGATCGATTTGCATATCAGTGTTAGGACAATTCATTCGAATCTCCATTTCCACCTGAAAAAATAAAAAAAAAGTACGGAGTGTTATCAAAAGATCTAAGGAGGAGATAGAATCGCCATGAAATTGCATAAACAGGGGAGCGTGAATCACAGAAGAGATGAAGAAACAGCGCAGAGCACCCCGCCATACTCCCCCAAAACCCTCAAACACCCAAGATCTCTTCCCAGATCCATCAACTATCTCCTAAGAGAACAGCGGCTTTTGTTCATCCTCGTTGGTATCCTCATTGGCTCCACTTTCTTCATCATACAACCGAGCCTTTCCCATCTCAGCTCCACTCCTAAGGTGCCCAGATCGCACCCTTTTCATATCTCTGAAAGGGAAGCAGTTTCTTCTTATACCCCTTTCAGGGTAGGTAGCATGAATGGCGCCGGGATCGGCAGGGTTCCTGTAGGGATTGGGAGGAGGAGGATGCGGATTGTGGTCACAGGCGGAGCTGGATTCGTGGGCAGCCATTTGGTCGATAAGCTGATTAAGAGAGGTGACGACGTGATCGTCATTGATAATTTCTTCACCGGGAGGAAGGAGAACGTGATGCACCATTTCGGAAATCCCAGGTTTGAGCTCATTCGCCATGATGTTGTGGAGCCCATTTTGCTCGAGGTTGATCAGATCTACCACCTGGCCTGTCCTGCTTCTCCCGTCCATTACAAGTACAACCCTGTCAAGACAATCATATCCTTTTTTAATTCAATAAGACCCCCCCCCCCCCGCCAAATACTGCATGCTCTTTGAAATGAATGCTGGTTGTTGAATCTGTGACTCTGTGTCATGGATAGTAAAATGTGTGTGAATCGTGATAACTGATACTCCTTTTGGATTTGGAGATGTTCTTTGGAAGCCTTGACTTAAATGTTGTTACAAGACAAATGTTATGGGCACACTTAACATGTTGGGACTAGCCAAGAGGATTGGTGCTAGGTTCTTGTTAACTAGTACAAGTGAGGTGTATGGAGATCCACTTGAGCATCCCCAGAAGGAGACTTACTGGGGAAATGTTAATCCTATAGGTAATTCTTAAGCTCATCATATCCTTTTGTTGTTATGCTTGCTCTCAACCAAGCGTATTTGGTTTGGTGCTTTAAATGAATTTTGAATGGTATGCACAAACTATTAGGAGAGCGCAGTTGCTATGATGAGGGAAAACGCACTGCTGAGACTTTGACTATGGACTATCACCGTGGTGCAGGAGTAGAGGTAAAGAGTCAATTTATAATCTTGAATGGGATGGAGTAAAACAAAATATCTTCATTGTGCTTTGGCCCTTAAATTGAAATGCTATAGCACACATGTTTGAACTGCTGGTTATCTGAATGCCAAAGCTGTTCTTGCTTTCTCATGTCTACAAAAAGCCTTTCTATTGAAAATCATTACAAGTATATCGTTTTTTATGTTTTAGTTTGTTTTTCTTTTCTTTTTCAGTGTGTGTGAGTGTGTTTTGCATCTTTCTAGTGTTTTATAACGGAAAATCCTTTTAATAAACAAGATTGCCCTAAATAGGAGTAAAAACGTTTTGAAATTCCAAAATAGGACTATCATATTTTTTATTTCCTAAATAGGATTAATTTGCCAAGTTTGAAAAAAATGCCATGTTTAAACCCTAGTAATGCCAAACTTGGCAGAAATTTACTCCTATTAAGGGATTAAAAAACATGATAGTCCTATTTTGGAATTTCAAAACGTTTTTACTCCCGTTTAGGGAATTCTCTCTTTAATAAATTCAAATGAAATGACTGCATATAGGAGTGAAACATGGGTCAGGGGTACAAATAGGAGTATCCTAGCTTTGTGCTAAATATATGTCTTATTCAGCCTTAAAGTAAAAATAAAAGTACTTTATGATTCTTTTGTTCAAAGTGAAAAAATCATTTTTGTAGGAAGAAATAAAGATGGTCCTTTTTCAAGACATGTTATGTTTTCATCCTATTTATATCTCTTTTCTTAAATTAAAACACTTGAGCTTCCAAAGTTGGTTTCTTATAGCAAGGCAAAGGTGGTGGCCACTTTGTTTTGTATGCACATATTTCCTTTTTTCGTTCTATATAAAAATGGGCTTTGTATTGAATGAATCTGAAGACAAGTTAATACGAGGAGTTGAGGGCATTTAGGAGGGATGGTTTCCATTTCTTACACTGTTACTACTTACTAGTTTTAAACATCATTCTGTGGTATATGGCCTTATAACGTTAATAAGCTCTTTTTTTTATTTTTTATTTTTTTTTTTATTTTTTTTTTTTACTCCACGGGGAGTCAGGGGGAGAGGGGGGGAGAGGGTTTGGGGCCTGGGGTAAACTGGGATCAATCTCACTCCATTGAGAATTGAACCCGGGACCTCCCATAAGGGAGAGTGAGTAGGCGACCAGCTGGACTGGACCGCTTCCTCAAATGCAAATCCAATTTTAAATGAAGTTTCCTTGTCACGCTCAGTAAATTTGAAGTTCTGGTAAATTTCTATACATTGTGATCACATCACTAGGATAACATACTCTGCGTAAAGAACATGTAGGTATTGGAGTGGGAAAGTTGATTGTGTCCAACACAAAATGTCCACAATGGTAGGGCATTGCTTCCAATTCTTTGTGGGATCCACACTGCCATATCCAATGTTAAACACAGTCAACTTTTACATATATCAATTTGTATTAAGCATGGGGAATTCTAAAGAAAGTGATGTATGCATGTTGAATACACCCGCGACATGTACATGAGATGACATACTAAATGTCCCTTTTTTGTCCTTCTAAATACGGGGATACCCTAGTAAGTAGTAACACCTTTGCACACAACATAATGTAGATGAAGGAAATGAAGTTCCTGATGATGTTTTAAACCCTAAATTACTTAACTTATGCACTTATATGTGCAGTCTGTGATAAGTACGAACCACACCCCACACAATTATTGTATATATTGATCACTGAAAGGAAGGTTTACAGTAATGCTGGTAAATGAAAACAATAACAGAAAGAAACGCAGGAAGAAAATTCAGATTGAGACCAACTCGATAGGGTCTCTCTCTCTAAAACCAGAGTTCTACCAAAATTCCCGACTCTTTATTCTCTTCCTTCTGTCATACGTGCACGGTGCACCTCTTCAGTAGCTAGTCTGTGTCCACTCTCTTTTTATGCCAGTACATTTCCTCTTCTGCCCCTGTGGGTATAAACATTAGAAAAATCCCGGTTGGGATTAATTTGGAAAATAGATGAGCTCGTATCAGTCTGCGATTTCGCTACCTAAATTTAGCTGGTTACATTGATAATATTAGTGTGCCTGCAGATTATGGCCAATTACAATGTTTTCCTTTGCAGGTACGTATTGCTCGTATTTTCAACACATACGGACCTCGTATGTCGCTAGATGATGGACGTGTTGTCAGTAATTTTGTAGCTCAGGTTTGTATATACATAATGATTACATATATTTATGTGTGTCTTTGATAAGTATTTATGATGGATACTTACTATTCACTTAAGTTGTACAGTACTTCATTTTGATCTTCTTTCAAGCATCTAACCGTACAGTTTTTCCCATAATGTTCTATAGACTATTCGCAAGCAACCCATGACAGTTTATGGTGATGGGCAGCAAACAAGAAGCTTTCAATATGTTTCTGACTTGGTATGCTATGTACCTATATAAATCTTAATGGTTGTGCAAGTGTCACTACATTAACGTCGATGAAACTTGTTTAAGACCTTTGCACTTTTTCAACTCAAATGTTTATAGAATTTCCATTAAGCCTTAATTATATGATATGGGATATTGCTGGTCTTTAATCCAATAATTCAGAAGCATCTTACTGTTGATTTGTTTATCTGCAATACTCTGTTTTTATGAAACTTTGTCTCCATCCTCACCCTTGCCAGAAATTAACTTTTTCCTGAGCATTTAAAGATGGCATTTTTGAGATATTTGTCCATCAAAAATACTGAAATTTGATGCAATGAAGTGTATTTGTTTTGATCTTTTTTGCTGAAGGTTGATGGGTTGGCAGCTCTGATGGAAGGAGAGCATGTTGGGCCTTTCAACTTGGGAAATCCAGGGGAGTTCACAATGCTGGAACTTGCTGAGGTATGTTTTAAGATGTTCATATTCCTTACTTCATTCACACATTGCATACACGTGCTATATATAGGGTATAGATCTGGCCTACTAAATAAATGAATGTGATGGATGGAAAAAATGGTGGCCGTTCTGTAAACAAGTGGAAAATATTTTGCCCTGCACAATGAGGAACATTTGCATCATTGAGCAACAAAAATGTAGTGTTGCCATGTTGGTTTCTCTCAAAATGGAAAGCGAAATGGAATCCATGTAGTTTTGTGATCCCACCCACCATAAATAAATGTGCATCATTGATGAACTATTAATTTATGGTTCCTTCTTTGGGAAATGCAGGTCGTGAAAAAGGTGATTGATCCTAGGGCAACAATTGAGTTTAAACCAAACACGGCTGATGATCCTCATAAGAGGAAGCCAGACATCAGTAGAGCAAAAGAACTTTTGAATTGGGAGCCAAAAATCGCCCTCCATGATGGTCTTCCCCTCATGGTCAATGATTTCCGGAATCGCATCTTGAACGAAGAGGAAGGAAAAGGAAACTAGTATGTGTGAAACTGCATGTATAGAAAAAGAAGCATACTCTAATTTTTCGTGCTTATTTCTTTGTCTAGTAGTTCATATATTCATTGCTCCTTCCCTCACACGTCATCACTCCAACAACTATAGTGCCTCTACAGGATTAGGAATAAGTGTGTATTGTTTTGATGTTGCTTTAAATTCAAATTTTTATACCCTTGAAATTGAATTGGGTCCTCGTGTTTATTGACTAGTCTATACAAACCATTGGTTAAACTGTTCAAGCTTGTCTTTGATATTTGGTTCTCCTTTTATATGTACTAGTATCAAAGATGTGCATTGTATGTGGCCATGTGGGTAGCAGCCTAGCAGGTGATGAGGTGGAAATTACGCAGATAATGTCATGTGTTGTACTGTTGCACAGTTGTATTTAATGTGAAATCCAGCTATATTTTGCGTTAGCGAGTTAATATATTTGTATTTTTTTTTTATCAACGTCTCAAATGTCTATTCTGATAGTGGTGTTTCCTCTCATAGAAATGGAATTTCTTCCTCCAAAATCCAAATCTCCAATACAAGATTAAGAGCATCTCCAATGGGGATGTCTACTCTCTTCCACATTCTTACACACGGGTCCCATTTTTTATCTCACAAATTTTATGTGTAGGACCTACATATCTCCACATTTATTTTGTTTTTCATTTTTCTATATCACTTTTAACCCACTTTTCATCCACTTTTACTCCTCGATTCCCGTGTAAAGTCTATTTGTGGACATTGTCATACACATTGTCTACAATTTACTCCTATCTCTCTTTTCCTTTTCATTTTTCATACACACCACTTTCTCCATATTAAATTAAAATAATCATTATATCTCTATCTCTCTCCTATGCCACGTAGGATAGACTTTACTCCAATCCACTACCCCATTGGAGATGCTCTAATCACCATATCAGCTCCACATGTTACAGTTGAAATAGTTATTTTGTTTTGAGATAGATATACAGTAAAGTGAGTAAACAGACACAGGGCAACAATGTTTCCCCCTGCTTTTCTTCGTAAGTGGGACATACTCTTCGCTTAGTAATCTTCCATTGCTTTAAATCTCTATCCTTAGGCTTATGTCTGGCTTGCATTTATGATGTTAGCGTGAGGAGAAATGATGTCAGCACAATACGTAATGATGCTACGCATTGTTATCTTTGTTGATACTCTAATTGATGATATAGATGAAACTTCATGTCAGGCCGGCCTGACGGGCTGCCCCGTCCGGCCGAGCCCGTTTGGGCACCTTCCCGGTGGAATTTGTTGATGAAATTTTTTGAGCATGTTCCTCATCAAGTCTAGTTTGTCCATACCAAATTTCAGCTCAAAATTCAATCGGGAAGGTCGTCAAATGATTTTTGCAAGTTAACTGGTCCGGAAAATACATATTCCAGACCAGTTAAGTTGCAAAAATCATTTGACGACCTTCCCGATCGAATTTTGAGCTGAAATTTGGTATGGACAAACTAGACTTGATGAGGAACATGCTAAAAAAATTTCATCAAAAAATTCCACCGGGAAGGTGCCCAAATGGGCTCGGCCGGACGGAGCATCCCGTCAGGCCGGCCTGATGAGAAGAGCACTCTACTCTAATTTTTGGCTAACTATAACATAAATCCGATGGTGAGGGCAATGAGCGGTATCCTTATAAGCCTTCATAGATATAATATGTAGATTGGTGGTGGCAAGGCTGGACGGTGCCTGGACCAACGGCAAAAGCAAAGAGAGGAAATTTGCTGGTGAGGGGAGGAGCTCGATCGAATAGTGTCACACAATAGAGGAGTGTTCAGTGCCTCAACGATGAGTTATGGATGTCTTCATCGTTGGGTCGGGATATGCTGATCGAGAGCAGATGAATTTTATCCCAGCGTCCGATATTGATGAAACCTTCTTGCAACACTAGTCTAACAGTAGACCGCGATCTCCATATATACTTTGTTCTTGATTCGAATGCTACCTATGGGATGTATGTATCAGGAACTCTTCCGCCTGGTTTTTTGCAAGCAAATGTTCTTAATACTACGTAGTTAACAGTGACAGAAGGGCAGCGAAGCATTCTTTTCGTTTTTTAGAAATATAGAGGACTTATAAAGCCTTTCTCATCCATACACGTTCAAAGCAAGTCTTTTTTAGAATCCTCAATTCTGCATTTAAGTCAAATCAAGAATTATTGAGCACTGTTTATTTCACTACACGCGGATGGTTTAATTGACAACAAAATTCCATATGTAGACATCAATCTAGAGCATTTTGTGACTTCATAGCAGGGTACGAGAATTCACGTACAACCCGTCTTTCTTTTGATGCTAACCCATTCAAAAGTTTCATATGTGCTTTGGATGTGGGTACTTGGGTAGCACAACACCACTATTATTCCCCAAGGATGGCATGGAGAAGGATTTTATTGGATCAACAAAATTATTTAAAATATATTTCGTGGTTTATGTCTCATCGATTATGCAAAATATGCTAACGAGAGTTCCTAATCTATGTGTTCCCAACTTTTTATTAATTTTTTTTACTTGTACTTTTATTGATGAAGTAGAGAGTTCTATTAAGGATACTGATAGGGCCATTGGACGCACAAGGAGGTCCAACCCATGTTACTTGGACCCGGATACATTTATCAACCAATTATCTCTTTTGATGGCCCAAGAAGAGTAGAACCTGCAGCCTGCAGGAGACTTATTATCATTTTCTAATATTATTATTACCTTATTATTTGGAGCAGTTGTTTTACTTGTTTATAGTTTTAGGTGATTGCTTCGTGGGATACAGACCACTCAGCCCGTAGGAGTACACTTCCTTATGTATTTTCAATATTAAATAGTTTGGCATGAATGTAATGAAGGCAAGAAAAAATACAGACCATCTTCTTTCTGGCCATTCTATTTGCTTTCTGAAACTTGCTTCTTATTCACTGAATTTGGGTTTATTCACTGATCTTGGGTTTATCAATTGGTATCAGAACCGATGGATACCCGTGGAAAATCTAACGCTGAATTTCGGAATGAAGTTAATGAAACTCTAGATCGATGTGAGTCTCTTTTGGATCAACTCACAGCAGCCCTACAGACAGTGACGGTCGAGTTACAAGCAGTGAGCCGGCGCCTCAATCGCGATTCCTCGGCCATGGATATTAGCCACTTTGCAAATCGAAGAAACCGGCCGCCTCACTCCCTGGGTGGTGACCCTACCGGGTGGATATACCAAGTGGAGCAATATTTCAAGTTCTATGGTGTGACTCCTGAATGACAACTTGGCTTAGCCGCCATGAATTTGGAAGGATTGGCACTACAATTGTAATGCCCCGAAAATTTGAAGAATATTTCAAATCATCTTTTATATTGTTCGGAAGGTTTCTAGATAGTTAATTATGTTTAGTTTAGTGTTTGGGATCAAAGGAGGGTCCAAACGGGGAAGAAACGGAGTAAAGATTGAATTTGGGGTGTTCGGAAGGTCCGCGGGGTGTGCGAGGAGGTCCGCGGGGCGTGCGGGGAGGTCCGCGGGGCGTGCGGGGAGGTCCGCGGGGCGTGTGGTTCAGAACATAGCTGCAGGAGTGCCCGCGTGGTGGTACCGCGTGGATCCGCACGCCGTGCGCGTCAGAACATGGCTGCAGGAGTGTCCGCGTGAAGGTACCGTGCAGGGGCCGCAGAGTGTGCGGGTGGCCGCTTAAAATGGACGAATTTCGGCAAAACGTCTCCCGCACGGCGTGCGGGTTAGGCCGCACGGTGTGCGGGTTCAATTTATCCTTATTCACTATAAATACATCCCTAATCCTATTTTCCTCGTTCCAAAAACACTAGGATCGCCTCTTCAAGCTCTATCTCCTCCAGACCTTTCATATTAACATATCCACCACGAGTTTTGAGGCAAAGGACGAAATCATTCCGGTACGTGCGTTTGTTGCCTAATTCGTGCCATTTATACGTTTTCTTGATTTCTTTCTCCTAAATTGTGATCCTTCGACCCTATAACTACCTAGGTACGTGTGAGTGACTCCTCAAGCAAGGTTTGACATTTAGGATTCGTTGCTAGCCTCGAGGTAAGGACTATTTCAACCAAAACTACTATTTTGCCCCTATTATGTATTAATTAGGGTTTGTGCTATGATTTGAATTTCTTGCTGAAAATTTATGTATATTCAGGCTATTATAGTTTGGATATAATGATGTGTGATTTTCTGGGAATTTTTGAAAATGTGATTTATGGTGAATTTATCAAATCAGTTTGCTTTGACCAAAATTGTGATTTTTGGGAAATAATTAATTTGGATTGGAAAATTGTGGAGATTTTTTTGGCGTGAATTGAGCTATGTTATGAACATCTTTAGTACCATATTTTGAGGATATATTCTGGGTTTGGATTACCCTAATTGGTTTGGTTTGGTGGTGGTATACAAAGCTATTTTGGGAAAGTGTACGTTGTATCACTTCTTTTGCCAAAATTGTAATCAATGATTTCTGAGTACTTGGAGGACCCGGGAGTAATCTGTGGTGTTCGGATCTACATCCGGTTAAATGTAGAACTGTGGTCTAGGGTAGTGCTATTATTATCTGGTGGATGGTTTCTTTGATGGTTTTGGATACTTGGATATTATTATTATTGGTTTCGGCTTTTGTGATAGTAGTAGCACCTAGTCCACTTTTATCTTTTTCTTGGGTAGTTGGTAGAGACTTAGCTGGTCTCAACTACTTGGACTTCTTACTACTGGGAGGGCTTGGAATCCCTTTTAGGGGTGTGCACACTTAAGGTAGAAGTTCAGTTTCCAATTGGTGGGTGGTGGGGTCCGGGTTTATCGGGCAGTTCATAGGTGACTTTAGTAGCTTATGCAACCGTCTGGGACACCTGGGTTGATGCGTGATAGTTGGTGACTGATAAGTCCGTATTTAGATACGCATTGGATGCGTGTTCGGGTCAGATTTTGATGATTTTCCTATTTTTAAGGCGTTGCAAGTCTCAATTTTGGCTCAAGTTGTGTTTATCAGGCGTTGGATTGAGTTGTGTTGCATTTGGAGTTGAAATGAAGAAGTTAGAGTCCGACAATCGGCGCTTGAGAAGCAATCAGGAAGGATTTGAAGGCGTTCAAGAGAGATTTGAGAGATTTGGAGGTCACTAGGAGATTCACGACGAAATTCTGATGCAGAAAGAGCATTTGGATCGACCTCGTAGGGCATCCGGGAGCATTTGGAGCAAGAAACGAAGAAAAATGTTGAAGAAAAGACCAGGCACGACCGTGCCTGGAAAAGGATGATGGCACAACAACATTCTGCCAGCCAGGCACGATCATGCCTGGCAGGGAGGCACGATCGTGCCTCCACCCGAGACGCGCGCTTGTTCCGCAGGCACGATCGTGCTTGGCGTCGTGCCTGGCCCCGTTTTGTCCTAATTCAGCTCAAATTCCACCCTTTTCTATAAATAAGGCCTCCCTTCTCCTATTTTGGGGTTACGAACTTTGTGGAGAGGCCTATGACGAGTTTTACCTGCGTTTTTACGTTCTTTACTTCGAGAACCTGAGATTCTTTGTAAGTTCAATTCTTTTAATTAATGACAATTTATTCTATTCATCCCAATTCTTTTGATTCGTCAATTATGAGGCGTGAGTAGTTTAATTAGGGATTTGGGGTTGATGAAGGGGTTAATCATGATGTATGACTAGATTCTTGTCGCTTTAATTGCATGAATGCCGTTTAATTTGTGTTTGAATAATTTAACTGATATCTCTTGTAACCTAGAATCGCGACTAGAATTACAATTGCATGTAGAATGAATTAAGAGAGATATAATTTATTCTAGGACACATTCACACACACTTAATCGTTCGCTAAGAGATTAGTAGCGATTAAGGGGCCGTAAGCTCGCTCGTTTTGGCAATAATTTAGGATCCTGTC